AGCGTCCGTAATGAATCCAGCCTGCAACGCACCCACACTTGCTGGCGCGATCATGCGTTTTTGCTCTAAGTTTGCAAATCGTTAACAGTAAGGATGATTCCTGCGCTGTAATTTAACATTTAAACCCATATTGGCTGTGCTTTGGACTCTTCTTGCATGCAAGGGGATGGGGTGTCGGCTTGGATGAAAGTGTTGCATTACGGGGCGTATGAATCTCAACGTGCGTGATTATCAGTTTTTTGCATGAAGCCCGGTTGTTTTCCCGGTGAATGCTCGTCCACCGAAAAAATGTAAATTTGAAGTCCGAAGAGGATTATGAAATCTGTAAAATGCACTCGCTTCTGAATTTGCTATAAAATTGAGTAATTGCGACTCGTTGCCACGTAAGGATGATACGATTACAGTTGATAGCAATTCGGTAGTTACTGTTGACTGACAGCAGTGCGGTGTTACTGGTGTCACCGGTGTGGTGTTACCAGTGTGGTGTTACCAGCAGGTTTCCATTGCGCCGATGGTGTCTTTCCTGTTGTTTCTGTTTTAATTTTATTAAATAAGTTGTTTTTTTTGGCTTGATTTAAGGTACCTTGCTCACGGATACGTCCAATTTTTGCACGAACTTTAGGAATTTAGTTAAAAGACAAATAATAATTAAATCATTTACTTTGGCCTTGAATATCGATTCATTCGTTTCTACAAAGGACAGCAATCTTTGAATTTTTTAGTTCCTCCCAGGAATACGAGCTTCTCCAGGTCAGTTGTTATGGCTCTGCGAGAGTTTACAACTTCTGTTGGCTTTTTACCAAATCTTACGAGTCCGTTTATGCGATATGTTTGCAGATGGTGCTTCAACGAGTGCTGATGCTCTGTCGCAGGCATCCAGAGCGGGATCAATCGAAACAGGTGATGAATCAAATTCCATCGCAACAGCAGCAGCAGCAACTGATTCGGCTGGTAAAATCATAAGTTCTTTTTTTTTTCGTTCTGTTAAGGATGGCACTGTTGCTGGTGGGCATGACTCAGTGGCAAGTAGCGTTATTTGCATGCTCTAGTTCACGGTTCAACCCCACCACCCGACAGTTAATCCCTTCACAATTCGTTTCGATGGTAAATCAGTGTGATTCTAGGTAGCCGTACCAAGAAAAAAACCAAAGTAACCTTTGCGGATGCCTTTGACTCATGCTGGCCCCTCCCACACTCAGGTTACTTTTTTGTGTTTCTGCCTGAAATGGGGAATGAAACGGGGAAGGAGAGTCGGCTAAGTACTAACTAAGCATCCAACTGGGCCCGCTGATGTTTTCTGTAGAGGTAAAGTACATCACGGCTCATCTTCGTTATAAATTTACCACAACTGGCATTAGTGTGTGTATCATCTTAGTAGCTGAACATAATGTCTCTTTGAGTGTCTCTAAGGAAATGAAACCGTACCAACAAACGGTTGTATTAGCAAAAGCGCTATCGTTTTTATGCGTTTTTTGCAGCTATGCAATGCAAAAACGCATATAGACGAGGGGTTGTCTGTATGTCCGTGTGTGTGTCACGCACTTTCATCTCAAGACCTATAAAAGCTGCAGGGCTGAAATTCCGGGAGCTTAATCTACATGCAC